TTCCAAGAATAATGCAATTGTAAGGAGAAATCCTTTCTACACCTTTTGCACTTTGTACCATCTACACTGAAGTTAAGAAATAACTGTGTTCATTTCTACCAATTAATTAAAATCAAAAGTAAGTCTTAAGCGCCTCACTGGCAGAACAGAGGTCTTTTGGGGAACCCGTGTGTCAGAGCAGAAGGAGGGCTCTGTAGAGGTGGTATCAACCCTCAGGAGGAGTCCCACGGAACGGGGCCCTCAGCTTTCCCCAGGCTGTGAGGTGTAGTAGAAAAGGGACAGGCTTTGAAATTATTCTGGAGCTCAAATCCCTGCATAGCCACTACCTGCTATTTATGGTCACAGTAGCCCCCCATCCCCCATTATTCAGGGTTTTGATTTTCCTTTTACAGTTTCAGTTACCAGTGCCAACTGCACCCTGAAAATATTAAATGGAAAATTGCAAAACTAATTTATAGGTTTTAAATTGTATGTGCCATTCTGAGTAGTTTGGTGATCCACCATCCCCCTCCAGATGTGCATCATCCCTTTGTCTGGGGTATTCATTCACTCTGTGTATCTTACCTGCCCTAGCCATTTAGTAGCCATCTCGATTATTAGTTCAACTATCTCAACTTGCTTATGTTCAAATAAACTTTAGTTAACTTAATAATGGCTCCAAAACACAAGAGTAATTTAAACTTTACTGTAAAAATGTGTATATATAGCAAAAAAAAAAAAACCCCACTAAATATAGGGTCCAGTATTATCTGTGCTTTCAGGCATCCACTGTGGGTTTGGAATGTACCCCCAGGAGTAACTGGGGACTACTGTACTGGATTCAGTTGTTTCATCAATAAAATGCGGCACCGAGGACTGTTCTTTGAATTCCACATTAGAGTGCTTAGCATAAACCAAGTGCTCCATAAAGAGCAAGTTATTGAGACCTCCAGACACCATTTAGGGGGATGCTCAGACCAAAGAGGGCAGTATGGTCTGGGCGAGTGACAAGTGACCCGAACCTACAAATTCCTCCCTCAGAGACACCTAGGCACACCCCTCCGCTTTCCTTATTTAACCTCTGCTCAGCCAGCTCCAGCTCTCCACGGAAGCGCTGACTCAAGGGAAACTGGGAACAGCGTGACTACAGGAAAATGATGGTTTTTTTTCCTTCCTTGTCAGGAGTCTTGAAAACGAGGGAATACCAGCATTCGCAGCAGCCCGGGGTAGGATTGACCAACTGTGACTTTGCCCCCAAGGAGCCTCCTGGGATTGACCTCTAGCACCGCTCCCGTACAAAGTGCTGAGTCACGGGGAGGCGGTGCCGCGCTGCGCCGGGAGGCGGGCCCGGTGCAGTCACATGGCAGGGGCTGTACCACAACAACAGCGCAGCGTGCAGCCCGCGCCTCTTCCTCCCGCGACAAACCAGCTCTCTGAGCATGCTCAGCTCGGCTGCGCGGTTGCGCTGAGTACCCAGCCGCTCTACTCCACGGTCCGGGTTTTCCCGGCAGCTGCCCCGGGTGCTAGGAGCCCTGGAGGCGCTTTCTGAACCACTACTATCAGGGCGTGGTTCCGGTCGAAGGAGTCTAGGTTTCTTCTGCAGAAGAAATGACCAAGAACCTGCCTTCGAAGGAGTCTAGGTTTTTTCTGCAGAAGAAATGACCAAGAACCTGCCTTTGGGCAAACCTGGGGAGGAGCTGATTACATAAGATATGAGCTCCTTCTTTTCTTTTTAATGATCGTTAAAGTCCTAAATGATCAGTGCGAGGCTGTCTGCTGAAAACTCACTCCCGGTAGTCGAAACCCAGTTCTGGTTGCAATCTACAGAATGAAATCGAGAAGAAATAAACCTAAAAATGCAAAAGACTGTCAAATAGACGGGTATTACTGTTGTTCAATATGACCTTCGTTGATCTGTAGTAAGTTTCTTTACCCCTGTAACAGTAATTGGCAAAGGCATTGTAGAGGTCATGGTTTTAATATGACATAACTGCCAGATGGTGCTACCACGCTGTAGCCTATTTGGGATTGTCCAGAGCCCAGGAGTACCCTCTTGGGATGTCGGTTTGGAATTTGGGCACAGGGTGGGAGAGGCACCCTTCTGTGAGTATCAACCGGAACCTGAGACTGAGTGATTCAATTATAGCATTAACTCACTATATTAAGTATCACATAGAGCTTTGGCTAGACTAGAACTGTCTCTTCCTGACTCCCCTTCCCCCCTCCCCCACCTCCCCGTCTCTGTTTCCTTATTAAAGCGAAACTGACACTTTCCCAAGAGACCAACTTCACAGTATTGTGAGGAAATGAAGCAGGTGTAGGGGGAAAGTGTGTGCCTTGCAAAGTGTAAATGTCTACACCTGCGCTGTTCTAATTAAGTGGACTGCCAGCCACATATGTAATCTAAAATTTTCCATTAGCCACCTTTAAACACTAAAAAGAAACAGTAAATTTATCTTAACATTTAAAATACTAGTATAGTAATTAACATAATCACTATAAAATTATTACTGAATATTTATATCTTTTTTGTACTAAGTCTTTGAATTGGGTGTATTACATCCACAGCACATCTCCCAGGCTACTAAATTTTCATTGGAAATACTTGATCTGTGTTTAGATTGCATAAAATTAACAGATGAAAAAGTGGATTCACATTCCCAGTCTTCCAAATTTAGTTAAAAGTTTTCCAGCAACCAAATGAGATACCAGTTTTGAAATTTATATTTAAGTGGTTTAAATAAAACTAAAATTCAGTTTTTCAGTCAAATTAGCCACCTTTCAAACACTCTGTAGCCACCTGTGTCGGATGGCTATTGTGTTGGACAATGCAGGTCTATGCAAATATGTGGTGAGATTATGAGAATAACAAAATGATCCTTTGGATGACTCTCCTGTATTTCAAACAATGACCAACACTGTCCCCACCCCTGCCCCCACACTTACCCTCCTTTCGTAGGAAGCAAACATTTATGCAAAGCACTTTTCTAGACTTAAAGATACAAAGGCATAAATCGTCTCTATAACAGAGGAAGCCACTCTCAAGTGTGGAGATATTTTTAAAATGATTCTATCATAACGTAGAAATAGAGGCATGTACAAATGTAACCAAAATACAGGAAGGAGTAACTGCAACTCAAATGATGAACAGGAATGTGTCAGGTGGGGCATTCCAAGCAGAAACAAACAACAGAAAGCTAGGGCCACACAGGTCTGGAGAAGTTGGTGGGGAGGTACAAGGAACAGTAGGGGTAATAGTTGAAGATGTTAAATCAGCTGTGGACAAATTAAATGAGGCTTGGTTTTTATACTGGCTCTGCTCTTGAGGAGTGAAACATCATCCCTGAGCTTCAAACACCATCACACAATCTCCCACACATACATACACCCTGCTGCAGAAATTACAGCCACACTTTAGGAACCCATGTCCCTAGGCCCTGAGATAGGCACATCCAAATGAAGGGTGTGGAAGAAGAGATTCTTACTATCATATGTCCATTCAGCAGTTAATAAGTGCTTATTAAATTTTAACTTTGTAAAAGTGTGAAGGAAGTGGGCACAATTAGTACACATTTTCTGGCCTCAGTACTTGTATGTTCTAGTTCCTGTCACTTTTCCTCTGACCTGTTGTGTTCATCACTCTTTCAACACATATCTATTGAACAATTACTTTGGGGCAAGATACCTCATATCTTCCCTTTCTTGCCAGGATGGGGCCAACCCAGCTGTTTCTTCTATTTTCTACCCCCATGGTTAAAGTCACATGAACATCATTTTAATTTACTCTATGGATGACTCTTAGGCTTGGACTGAGTATATACTTTGAGATGTTTCCTTCAAATGATCCATCTGGAGATATTAACAAAGCCCCTTTTGTTGCAATCAATCATGTCTGTGTCATCCAAAAAATGTATATCATTAGAGAATACACAAATGCTTGTAACATATATGCATGTCTAAAAACTTGTAGACAAACTGACTCCTCTTAATAACGAGGTCACTTATTGAACATTAACTCAATGCACCTCTTCACTGCACAACTTTTACAACATATATAAAAGATAGAATATAATTTTGTACAGGTGTGGAAATAACTTGTCCAATGTCTCATCGTCGGTAAATGGTGGAGACTAGAATTGAACGTATTTCATCTGATTACCAAATATTTTTTCTTGACCTATCCTGCTGTCCTCACTCTGCTTTTGTCAGTGTGAAGGCCCTCTAACCTAAAAAAAATCTGGTGTGCTCTTCATTAATTCAAGTAATCAACCTTCTTCCCCAAACCAGAGTTGATCTCTTTAGATAACAGAAAACGGGACTTTTACACCTCGCGTTTGCTTCCACGGAGGCCTACCCGCACTCGCCGCACTGGTACAGCTCCCTTCCTTTGACTCCGCCCCAACCACTCCCGCGCACGCCTCTTCTGCAGTCCGCTTAGGTCTCGGGTGGAGCTCAGCCACGCCTTCTCTCCTGCACCGCCCCCTTTTCCCGGTCCCCGCCCCCCGCCTACCCCACTCCAGGCCCCGTAGTTTATAAGATCCGGAGCGTCGGATCACTGTCTGGAAGGGCGAGCGAGCGGACGGGACTGGGCATGCTCCGCGGCGGCGCAGGTTTTGGTCACAAGTAGGAAGAAGCCAGTGCACGACACCGGCAAAGAGAAGCGGGAGCCGCTGCGGCACGGTGGCTGTAGGGTCCGTCGCTGCCTCCTCAGAGCAAGAGCGGGGCGGGAGCTGGAGCAGGCGAGGGACGAGGCTGCCGGGCCGAGAGCCGCCCAGTCTGCCCTCCCGTCCTCTGCTTCTGAGCCCGCGAGGTGTGCCGGACCCCTGGGGCGGTCACCTGGCCGGTAAAGACCCCGCGCGGGAGAGCCGGGCGGGATCCTCCTGCTACCGACTGCGGCCCGAGGGCGCATCCCCGGTGTGGAGCAGTTGCCGCCGCCTCCGGTGAACTGCTGAGTGTCCAGCTCGCGCCCCGTGCCCGGAGCGTGCGACTGCCTTCAGCCCCGAGGAGAAGGAGCAGGGGCGGCCATGGGGCTGCTGTCCCAAGGCTCGCCGCTGAGCTGGGAGGAGACCAAGCGCTATGCCGACCACGTGCGGCGGCACGGGATTCTCCAGTTCCTGAACATCTATCATGCCGTCAAGGACCGGCATAAGGACGTGCTCAAGTGGGGCGACGAGGTGAGCGCCCGCGACCCCGTCTCCTCTGGGGTCCCCTGTCAGCCCACCCCATGCCGCCTTTGTTCCGCAAGGCCCCACCTGCTACCCTGACCCTGACCCTGACCCTGGCTCCTGGGCCCCGCGCTGTCCGCCTCCTGCACTGCGCCCTTGAGGGTCCCCGGGCGCGCCGTCTCCCTCTGGGCGTCCAAAACTGTCTAGGGCGTGGGGCCCGGCTCTGAGCCTTCTGGCTACACTCGTCTCTCCCATTCAATCAGGGCACCTGGAGGGCGCCACCGAGAAAAAGTGTGACATTTGGTGCTTGGGGGAGTTTACAGTCTCTTTTCCGCTACCCACTGTCCCATCTCGAAATGCGCTTTTGCTGTTAATATGAAGGGAAAGTTGTCCTAGGAAGGCCCGTCGCTATTAGGAATTAGGTCTAAAGGATGTTCACTTCTGCCTGCCACCCCCCTCATTCCAGCTCTCTTTTAAACAGCCAACTCCTCATCAATCCACCTCCCCAAACACTCACACGCTTATAGGGATAAATTAAAACAGAAATGAACGAATCATTTGTCCTAAAGGGGAGGAATCTTTCTGGCCCTGTTTAATTGTAACAGAGAACTCGTACCTCTTCATAATCGGGATTTGTTAGTACCTTTCCATGGCATAAATCCAGCATCTAAACTTGACAAATCAGTGCTTCATCAACGTATGTTTTACCTAGAGGTGAAATGTGTCTGGATTCGCAATATGTTGAACCATTGTTTAATTGGAATGATCTGGAAAGCATCGCCTCTCGTTAGAGTTAAATTATTTTCTGCCAAAGCACTTTGTGCTCTCTCATTTTTAAAAAATCACATGTATGTACAGTTCAGATAATTGACTTTTTGAAAAGTCCACTTAAATCTTTTATCATTTGCTTTTTGTAGCCTTGGTCAGGTGTTAATGATTCGTCTTGTAGTCATTGTTATCACTCTTGACCTAAGTGTGAATGAAGTGCTTCACCAATACAGAATCTATCCCTGCATAAAGTTTTTCTATTCTCCAAGATTGGAACATAATTCCATTTCTGCAGTGCAAGAAATTATGCTGCTTCAAGTTAGAAAAAATATAATGACCAATAATTCACATTGCTACTATAAGTGTTGGTGTACAGTATGTGATTGATGGTAATTGTTCAGCTTTAGTCTAAAGTTCATTGTTTCTTTATGGCATCTGATATTTTATATACCCGTTTGTGTGTTGTGTGTATTTTATGATCTATCCTCTATTCCCCCTAGGTTTTTTTTTCCTCTCCCCTACCTCCCTTTCCTTTTGTCCCCCCATTAATAAATAAACCAGTGTCCTTTGGTGTCGGGAGTTTACTGTTTAATAGAAACAATGAAGTAGAAAAGTTGTCTTAGATTTAAAAAATAACCTGCTGCTTGTTTGTTAAGTTCTGGTTCAGTCATGTCTGGGTAGAGTGTAGGATTTTCAAGAGGAATACAATTTCTGTTTGTGCCTATTGACAGTCCAGCTGGAAACAGGCACCCTGACACAAGAGATAGAATTGAGAGAGTGAAGAATTCCCAGGTAGTTAAAGGGAAAAAAAACCCACTTTACTTCCTGCTCCTGAAATGGCACTTCAGGAAGCCTTAGACTCCCCTCCGAGTTGGTTCTCTGCCATCTTCACCTTTAGTGTGATTCTCATTCTCCATTGTAGTATCTCTGTCTCTACATCCTTTAGGGCAGACACAAGGTGTGACATTTCCTGGGGATGAGGAGGGTCTCACGCTTAAGTATTTATTGATGCCTCTATTTCTCTAGCATCAGGTCAGAATCACTTTTATGTTACAGAGCATTATTTTTCAAACTACATCATGATCCTTTAGTGAGTGGGTCAAGAAGTACATTGAAAAGATTTTGGAAGTCTAAAGTTCATTGTTTCTTTACATTGGACATTTTATATAAGTATTTGTGTATTTTGTGTATTTTATTATCTAGCTTCTCTATCCCCTAGATTTTTTTCTATCCAGGGCTTTTATAAAAATGGAGTAGGATGAAGAATATTGATTTATCATACATAGAAAGACTATCACGTCACACTTTTGAGTTATTTGACGTGTGTAATTGGGTCACGTATAAATTATTTCTTACCATGGTCACAGTTAAGAGTTTGAAAGTCAAGAGTCCCAGGTTTATCATGGAAGCCTTCCTTGATGAGATGAACCTCCGAAAAAAGAGCCATGGTTATAACTTCTCCAGTGTTAGCACTAATCCTTACACATAGTAGGAATTTACTATCACAGCTGTTGAATAGTGGTCTTCAGGCAGGGGCAGACAGCAAGCAAGCTTTGTTTTGACGCAGAAGCCTTGGGCAATAACTGAAAAACAGGCTGGGCAGATAAGAGTAGAGAAGGGTGTGGTGGGTGGTGTGGGCCCTGAGATGAAGAATGGCTGTGCCAGGCAGAAAACGGTGTTTGGGGTGCGATTATGTTGGATGTTGTTAGTGTGATACCCAAATACTGCTCTTCATGGGAAGTTTTGGTGTACTTACAGGGGCATGGACTTGAATGTTTAAAAAAAAAAAAGAAAGAAAGAAAAAGTGCCTTGAAACCAAAGCACAGTGGAAGGACAGACTGCCACTTTAGAAATGCTCAGCCCTAGTTTCTAGGACAGTTATTTATCTGATAGTGTTTATTCAGAAAGAACCCTGGATCTGGAGTTTCACTTGTGTTGTGTATTCCAAGGCCTTCCAAAAACTGCCTGTGTGGTTCTGGGCCTTGGCTTCCTCATTTGGCAAGTGAGAGGGTTGGACCTTCTTTCCCTTCCAGCTTTTACAGTTTGAGTAAGTACAGTTTGAATAAATTTTTAAATGTGTACAACTTTCAAACTAGAATGTTCCTCTTTTAAATTCACCTGTAGATAATCTTTAGACTGCCGAGTAAAGAGAAAGCTGTCATCGACTGCCATGGTAAAAATGGGTTGTATGATAAAGGTGTGTGTATGCTGGCTTATTGGAACTCAAAAGGTGAGAACCTTGTAAATAGGGAGATTCCAAGATCAGCTTAGAGATGTGTGTTTCACCTTTAGTGTGACATGTCCTAAGCTTTGCCACCGTTTATGGTGCTGTTTCTGTGGGAAATAGAAGTTGTAACTCCTAGGTGCCAGGAACTCATCTGTTCTCTTTGCTCCAGGATGGGGGATGCGGTAAAGAGGAGAAGTAAGATGAATGTTCCTGGGTGCTCTGTTGCCTGCTAAGCATCGTGTGTATGCCAAAAGTAAGCACTTCTCTCTTCACAGCTCACACACAACTTTTGAGTTACAGATTTTGTTTATGACTTGGAGTCTGCACATTAAAAGACAAACCTAGGAAATCTATGCTGCAAATGTGGCAATAAATGCAACTCTTGAATTTTTCTTAATAATCACTCCACTGTTAGCTACCTGCCAGGCCATTTCAGCTATTTAGTGGCAGAGGCATTATCAGAACTGAAATCTGTCTGACTCCAGGTCCGTTTCTTAAACACCTTATACCAGGTTTTGGATTATTTACAATGTATGAGATTTCATCAAATCTCCATTTACAGAGTTTAAACTCTGCAGGCTACAGAGGTACCAGAACACGGCATTTAAAAGCAAACATAATTTTTCTAATTTTTTTTAACCCAATGTAGTGCAGCTTTCAAAGGCAAGAAGGTAAATTGTCCTCTAGTAGAAAAGTGCATGTGAACTTTGAGAGGAAAATATAATGTCTTTAATGTTTATTAGTATGTTCTTAACAGGCATAAAACTAATAAAACTGAGGTGGGATTTAAGGGCTGGAATATCTTCCATTGATTTTTGCACTACATATTTGCCTGTGTAGGTTAAGAGTGCTTAAGTGACTATTTAGAAAATGCATGCCGTGATTCAGTGGGTTGAGCTTTGGCCTGTGAACCACAGGGTCGCTGGTTTGATTCCCAGTCAGGGCACATGCCTGGGTTGCAGGTCAGGTCCCCAGTAGGAGGTGTGTGAGAGGCAACCACACATTGATGTTTCTCTCCTCTTTCTTCCCCTCTAAAAATAAAATAAAAATATTTTAAAGAATTAAAAAAAATGTGTAGCTTGTCAGTGATTATGGTTATGAGCCTATAACAAAAATACGTAATCCTGAGCTATAAATCTAGAATAGGCTAAAGCATAGTCATTTTAGTCTAACAGAAAGTTTCGTGTAGATTTGGGCCAATTACTTAATCTCTCTAACCTTATTTTTTTCATCTATAAAATGGGGACATTAATAATACCTTCCTTAAGGGATAAAATTGAGTGAGATAATGTTGATGAAATAGTTTACAAAATACTCATAAATAGTAGCTTAAAATGTTACTTGAAAAGTTTTTAATATCCGGTATATCTCATTTAAATAGAATAGTCATTGGGGAATGAGGAATTTCATGTATATGGGTTTTCTAAACTAATTAACTGAAATTTGCCTCCTTAGCTATAATTATAATCTGTTGGTTTAGTAATTTTTTATGGTATTTCTAAGTTGCATTTCAAAATCTAAATTTTATTTTTAAAATTCATTATTTGACATTTACTTCTTAGAATAAGATTGAGCACAAATTAATTATTTTTTGACAGTCATTATGGAGAGTTTGGGTTTGTGGCACATAAAGTTGTTGAATCTCTTTCTTAGCTGTCACTGTGGATTTAGTTTAATAGCATTTATTGGTGTGTGCCTAAAGCACAGTGGTGAAATGAAGGAAAGGAGTGGAACATGATTGGAGCCTTCTGGTGATTTTTTTTCCCCCCATAATTACTGTTTGTACCAAGAGGTTCATTTTTGAAGGTTAGGAAATCAGATAACTGACCCTGTGTTTACATTAGGTATTGAGGTGGAGAATTTAAAGCTTAAATGTGAGCTTGACTGGGTAAATTTCAGATTTTTGCTGTTCATTTTGTGTTAGTTTTGCATGGACTTGCTTTTTAAACCAATTTCATTGATTTATGATTTACATAAATAATATGCACTCATTTTAATGTATAGTTCAGTGACT